GAGTGTGCTGAGTACGAAAAACCACTTTTCAGCAACTCTAAACCAACTTTATTTTTTTTCCGGTGATATGAGACCGGGGGACGTAAATGTGTGGAAAATTTGATTGGTCCCGCAATCGACCAATCATGTGAGTACTTGGTAAACATTTTGAAATCGATATTCTGAAGACATTTCCCATTTGCTTTTAGCTTGTAATATCACCACTCGATAGAGAAATGTTTTCTCTTTCAATCTACACAAGGCCGACCTTCCTAGCTTGTTCCATTCAGGAGCTATAAGCGTTTTCCTAGGAGCCCCGATTTCGCCTATTTAACCTTGAATCACCGCAAAATAGGTCGACATGGTGGTAATCGGCCACGCTGAGGCAAGTGGGAATGTTTATTTTCGGTTTCAAAGCGAGATAAAGTCATTATATTAAAATTTTCGAAATATCCACTCCGCACACCATTTAGTAGGAAAAAGTTGAATTTTTAAAAATCTTAATATAATCACTCTATCTCGCTTTGAAACTGAAAATAATGTTATTTAACCATATTCCACTTCAAATACGAATTTAAGTATTCGTTAATGAAAGATTTAAATGACTCTTCCTCCTAATGTACCATGTGCGAGAATTTTTTCAATTATATAGGTATTAGCATAATATGTTATATCACACATTGACGATTCGACAACGACTTTAAAACATCGACATTCGTAATAAAACATTCCCTTTTATTTAAGTAGATAAGAATCAAAAAAGAACAAACAACAAAAAAAATGAGGAAAAAGTTGGAAAATTCTTTTCTTAGATCAATGAGTAATGACGGATACAATAACGTCCATAAAAAAATCGAAAAGAAGGATTTCCTAATTCCTACTCAACAAAGAAAACATTAAAAAAGAAATGAACTGACCACATCATTATAATAAATGGTGTTATTATTTTCTTTTCTTGAAACAAAAGGAGATAAACAAAACATTTTGTTCAAATGATAAACACACTCACACAAATATAGTCATTTATTATGAAAAAAACGAATTCATGGCTAAATGGGTCTTACCTAAAATCAGAAAAAATTTTAGTAAAAAGATCATAAACGTTATGAATTTTTATTAAACTGAAAGCATTGCAAAATAAAGAGAAGATTACTATGATATATGTGTGTATACATACATAGAAGGAAAGATACATTTCTAATCCCGTGTATATTAAGCCATGTACATACCCTGCACACGCTAGCCCAAATTTTTTTCTTTCTTCTCAAATTCTTCCACTTTGAAAATACACACATTTTTCTGCTAAATAAAAGTCTCTTTTTCCTGTTTCATCTTCAATATATCTTCAATTTCAAATGGATATCTATTTCTCGGCTGCTGCTTCGTATACGAGTATGTGTGTGTACGTCTATTCAAGATTATTCATCTTCGCCTTCCCTTGTGTATGTGTGTTATTCTTTTCAACTTCTTATACGGGAATGAGCGATACTTCTTCTCTCTTCTCTACCCTAAGTTTAGGAGATCGAAGAGAGATAACACAAACAAAACAAACTAAAAGTTCAGCAACAAAAGAAGAATTAATAACAATAAATACATACGCTCATGGTATTTTAATAAGATAATTTTTTTCAACATAAACAACATAGTCCTGAGCTTCCAACTGTTTTTTTTTGTATAACTAGGAATAACACATTATGCTAGATATATGAGCGTATTTATTTGTTGTTTATTGCAAATTGGGAAGATAATTATTGCAGAAAAAAGTCTACTTACTTTTTAGATGAAAATTAATTTAACTTCTGTCAAATTGTGAGTACTTGTTATTTATCTATATGAAACTGAACGACGACCACCACTACCTATAAAAAATATAGAACAAATCATTTTATTACATTGAAAATCTATTTCTTGTTACTTACGCGATCGTGATCGACTATATTTTTCATACGATGGTGTTCTTCTTCGACTCCCACTCCCTCTATGAGATCCATAACCATTTCGAGATCCTCCACTACCCGAACTTCCATAATATCGAGCACCCATATAAATGCCAGGTGTAGGCTAAAATAGACAAAAGAGACTTATCTGATGCAGATGTTGTTTGGTAATGTATCACTTACAGCATGTGCTTTTTCCGTCAATGAATAATCAACACGAATTTTTTGACCATCAATGTCTAGTCCATGGGTTTCCTTTTTAGCCTGGAGAAAGAAACAATGATTAACGAATAAGCGCGTTTTTTTTTTAAAGAACATGTCAACATACTTCTTTGGCATCGTCAACTCTGTCAAAATATACAAAACCAAATCCTCGTGATCTACCAGTCTGAAAAATACGAAACACATTGTTATAGTTGTTAGATTCTTCAGAACACAAACTAGTTTTAGTAAAATTTGTCTTGTAAACTATGAAATAGATCGTTAAACGAGGAAATCTCATTTTGATTATACTAAGATTCTCTCATATAACTTACCCGTCTATCATAAACAATTCGTACATCTTCAACACGTCCAAATTTTTCATACATTTTACGTAAATCTCTTTCGTCTGTATTTAAACCTAAGCCAAAAACACCCAATACTTTATTTGCTGGTGGATTTAATCGTTCAATATCATCGACATAACGTTTCGAAGATGAACCACTACGACTTCGACTACGATAAATACGTTTTTCTCCGCCGTCGTATCCGCGATAATGTGATGCAGGTGGAGGATATCCATGATCGTGATTATGATGAGAACGATGTTGATGATAAGATGAACGATAATGTGAACGTGAATGTGGCGGCGAACGAGTTCTAAATAGACATCAATAATTTTGCCAAACTGTTAAAATCATAATTTTTTTCACTTACCTCGAACGACTTCGTGAAGGCGAACGACTAATGGATTTTGAGTGACTGCGTGTATGAGAACGGCGAGGCTATAATCAAATAATATTTAAGAGTATAAAATACACTATGTATGTACGTTTTTTCACAACTTACCATGTTTTCAACTTAAAAATGAGGAGTCTCTCGTTATGTTGAATGAAAATGTTGAAATAACGTATGACTTTTATCGATGCTTTATTTCTACTATGACTTACGAGTTCGTATGTATGATGATAGAATAATGAAGATTAGTCAAGCTATTACATACCAATAAAAACCGAAGTTTGCTCTTTCCTTAAAAATACCTAGGCAACCGTTTGATTTTTCGTATCGATGCGATAATGCATCGAAATCCAAAGTAGAGGTCTCTTGTGCAAGCATCATTGGTTAGGATATAGACTTGTCATTCTTCATAGTTGGAAATAAATACAAAGAGTAGTAAAAAGAATATTAAACGAAGTATACTTGTTAGTTTTTCTTCTTGATCTGTAAAACAGGAAAAACGATCATAAAATTAGTAAATATTTAGAGAAGTCGTAGTTTTTCGCTAAAAATATTCCATGTATAATATGCATAATCAAAGTGGTACGGCGCCAATGCAGCCGTCAATGATGGTTAATTCACGTATGCCAGTGGCAACGACAGGTTTACCGATGAACGTTGTCGCTCCACCTTCTTCACTTCCTCGTCAATCATCACCTTACACGCGACCACCAATGTATGAGAAAAACAAACGTAGTACATACTCAAATGATCTGCGAAACAGTACTGCAATTCCAATTGCACCCTCGTCGACAACAACGGCACAGATGTTACAACAGCCAGCTCCAGCCACATCAACAATGTATGGTGCACAACAACCTCAACTTCAACAACAGTCTTTGTCAATGTCGCAAGGACCAATTAGACAGTAAAGATTGTTTAATGAGCGATGTATTCGAGTAAAAAAAACTCTGTTTACTTATTTTCAGGAAAAAGCGAAAACGTTTAACTGAAAAAGTCATTCATAAACAAATACGTTCATTAGTTCCTGAATCACAAGCTTATATTGAATTATTACGTCTTGAGCAAAAACTCGATACAACTTTAATGCGTAAACGTCTTGATCTACAAGAAACACTTAAACGTCCACAAAAAGTAAATTTATTTGTGTATGTGTGAAATTCTTGTATTATATCTGTTATTGTTTTATCTCTTAGACAAAAAAAAAATTACGTATATTTATTAGTCATCAATATCCTGTACGTTTTGATCCAGAAAGTAATCTCGATGAAGACAACATGGTTCAGTATTGGGAAATGCGAGTAGAAGGCCGTTTATTAGATGATGTAAATCGAAATTTTTGTTTTTATTTGTTAATAATTTTTTTTGTTTTTGTGTAAGATATCGATATTTTTTCTTCAAGGCATCAACGTCGAAATATGATCAAGGAAAAACAAAACGAAAATTTTCCTCATTTTTTCGAAGTCTTGTAATTGAATTAGATAAAGATTTATATGGTCCAGATAATCATTTGGTCGAAGTACGTTCATTCTTTGAACAAGAAAAAAATACTTCTTCCTCTCTAATTTCAGTGGCATCGTACCAATGCAACATCAGAAACAGATGGTTTTCAAGTTCGTCGTCCGGGAGATCAAAATGTAAAATGCACAATTTTAATGTTACTTGATCATCAGGTAAAAGATTCTGCTTTTTACTTTTATATTAAAATTTGACAATAATTCTTTCCTTTATATAGCCTCAACAATATCGATTAGAAAATCGTTTAGCACGTTTACTTAGCTTAAGTAATGGTACAAGACAGGCAATTATTCATGCCATGTGGCAATATATCAAAACACATAAATTACAAGATTCAGAAGAACGAGAGTTTATTAATTGTGATGCACATCTACAATCAGTGAGATTTTTTTTGATCTTTGAATAAACGATATCAAAAGAAATGTTAACCTTCTTACATTTAGATATTTGATTGTTCAAAAATGAGATTTTCTGATCTACCAGGTAAATTGAATAAATTAATCTTACCTCCCGAACCGATTATTATTAATCATACATTATGGTAAGATATTTTTAAATATAAAACAAAAAAAAGAAATAAATGTAAAATTGGTTTTTGTAGTATTGATGGTACTGATCCAAAAAAACATGCTTGCTATGATATCGATGTTGAAGTTGATGATCCTGTTCGTGATACAATGCGAACATTTTTATCACCACAAAATACTCATGAGTTAGAAGAACTCGATGGCAAAGTAAATACAAGTTTTTCACTTTTTTATTTAAAAATTATTATATTCTTTTTCTTTATCCATTTAGATTCTACAATATATCGATAGTATTAATCAATTGAAACAGAGTCGTGAATTTTATTTGTCATTTGCTGATGATCCACAAGGTTTTATCTGTAAATGGTTGGCATCACAATCGCGAGATTTAAAAATAATGACCGATCAAAATGGTAACATGGAAGAAGAGCGTCGTTCAGAATATTATTATGAACAATGGTCATTTGAAGCTGTTAGTCGATATTTTTACAATAAAGTTCAACAAAAACGAGCTGAACTTGAACAAGCTCTTGGTATTAGAAATCAATAAAATTCTAAAGTAGTGTTTTCTTTTATGTGTGGATGTATTTATGTTCTTGTTATTTTTTACTTGTCCATATGTCAACACACACACGATATATCTCTCTATGTATGTACATAAATAAACTTCAATGAAATTAAACAGTGTAAACTTTCTTTGCTTCTCCTTTATATTCCCAGTTAATAGATCAATAGCGTACAAATGTTATAATTAGACAAAAATTACTTTTATGACTTATTTTCGTATTGCATCTCGTAGAAAAGATTAATCAGGAGTATCCCTGACATAGATGAGTAAATCATCCATTTGTGTTTATTATTATTGATATCTATAAGGGTTTACAGTCTATTTTTTTTCTCCATCCTTTTATTGATTGTTTTTTAAACGACCAGGTAAGTGGTCCTTAAATTTACACTTTATTCGATTTTAAATTTCTTGTGTAGCACTTTCTGCATGGATCACGTAAACTATTTTTGAACGTTATACGTAAGCGTTATTATGTGTTCCGTCTGATACACAGACAAAACAACGAGTCATCTCAAACTTCCACTTTCTTATAATGTCAAACGGGGTATTTTCTATAGCCATCAAAAGGTTAGTTCCCAAACATATTTAACGATCTAGAATTCATTCAGATGTGAAGCACTTTTCACAAAGTTGCAACGTATTCTATATCTTCGACTACGCTCTATTTTGAAGAAAGAGCCGCGTTTTTTTAGCAAATGTTCACTATTTTCGTGAAGTTTGAAGGCATTTTGCAACTTTTTTGTCATTGGTGTTGTTATTTGTGTGAGTGTCACATTTGTTTGTTTTTCTAAATAAAATTTGTTAGACCATTTCAGAAATCTACATAACAGAAAAATACTTAAATTACGAAATAGAGCTTTGGACTGCAAATTTTCAATCTATTCAGTTCAAAGGCACTGAACTGAACAGAGTCCTGGTATCAACTGGTACGTCAAACTGAATCCTTCAAACTTCTTTTCGTAACCTTAATCTCAATCCTTTTTGAGAAGGATAACACTCAACTGATTAATTTGTTTCGAAACTTGTTCAGAGCATACTCATTTTGACAAGCTGATTGTATGCATTCACAATTGTAGTAGTTGCTTAAAATTCTTTTTTGACATTTCTAGATAGCTATTCATCATTCATGATCATTTATATAGAAAACTATTCATAGGTTACATTGATTAACGCATGCATCTGCTGGCTTGAAATAATATAGACTATTTGTTGCTTTCTTAGTATGTATATTTTCATTCTATTTATTTGTGATCATGTAGCACATAATCCTAATAATAAATAAAACAAGATGATTGATTGCTATTTTTAGATTATTTGGAGATACTTGTTCTGGCGCATATTTGTTGAACATATTCATAATTGTGTATGTATGTTTGTTGTCACTTTCATGGACTTCATTCGTCTGAACAGTATGTACGCATTTTGTACTTATTTTTATATTTATACTACAGGATAAAATATAACAAAGTATATTTTGTGGTTAAATAATAAATCCATCGAAAAATAATCATTTAGGTTCTCACTTATGTGATATTTATAGTCACGCTGTTTTGGACAATCCTGGTATATCTGCTATTTATCGTATTCATATATTACATTATCGTTTGTTCTGAGATGAACTTATCCACTATTGTTCAAAGAATATTAATCGAAGCCATTAGAAATCGCTTTTGGGATAACGTATTTCTTGTTTAAGACTTCTGAAGGTCAGAAATGTATACACTACAGAGATTCTTTTAGATAACAGAAAAACGCTAGAAACTAACCGTCTCTCATGTTAACTTCTATGCTAGAGTCGTGACACAGAACGAAATGTTATTTTCACTCCTATTAAATAAAATATTATATTTTTTGGTGGTTATGTAATTCTAGACTATTGTGTTATAAAATTTTCTAAATGTTTGGTTTCAATGGATCATTCATTATGAGCCAATAGTTTCGTTCTAACAGAAACACATGTACATTTTTTTTCATTCTCAATAAGTACAACATTGATAACTTTTACAATTTTCCGTAACACAACCACATTCATTCGTATATTTATCGTCATATTCAATTTGAACAGTTATTGAATGAATATTATATTTGTGAAAGATGTCTTTCACTTCCTTCATCATCTTATCTGCTATTGATATATCATTGCATCTTAAATGAACAGTACCTATTGTCCGTAAATCATCTATTTGCCATATATGTATTTCATGAATATTCGTTATTGAATCTAATTTTGCTAATGTCTGTTTTAATTCAACAATATTTATAGATTTCGGTGAATATTGCATTAATATATAAAAACATTCTTGTGTGAGTGGTAGTGTGTTTAATGCAATGATCAAAACGATGGTGAGTGACAAAAGTGAATCGATATATGGCTGCCACCATAAATTTTTATCTTTAAAAATAAAATTTATGAATATACCATTTATCATTACGCAGAATGATGTCAGAATATCAGCAACAAAATGGAGAAAAACACTTCTCATACTCTTTGATGTGTGATTATGATCATGAAGAAACGTTTCATTATGATTTGTATTGTAATTATTCCATAAATTAACGATAGATCGATCTTTAGATGGAAATGGTATTCGCTTTACACTATGAATGGAATTCGTATCTCCAAACAACAAGTTTGTGTCTGATATATTCCATTTATATTTGTTATTCTTTCGACATTTAAGAGTTGAAAATGAATCGGATATATTATAAGTTGTTTCGCGTAGATTGCTATCGATAGATGTTTGCATATGAAATAAATCGATAATTTTTGTATTATAATTATCCCATTGTTTTAATTTCAATCCAAATTCATTATCGGATGCATTACTATTAAAATTTTGTCCTGTCTGTTCGTCAATAATCTCTTCTAAATGTGTTGATGATTTATTTTTGATGTATTCATGATGATGTGAATTTTGATGTACATCGTACAATAATAGTGCTCCTATTATATTGATCGATAAACTTAAAAAACTAATTATTAAAATTAAAGTTGGATTTTGGACCTGCACCGGTTCTATTAAACGTTGAATAGATTCTAAAATAATTGTTGCACATATGGTAAACAATATAACACAATTAGCAAATGCACCAACGATTTCAGCACGTTTCTGCCCGTATGTATGATTTACATTTGTTATAGTAGAATATGTTCCTTTTATTGCGATGGTGGTAATAATCACAGCCATTAAATCCGAAAAAACATGAAATGCATCGGATATTACTGTTAACGAATGAGTAATTGTACCGATAATTATTTCAGACAAAAATAATATGATTAATAATATGCCTGTCATGTTTAAACGTTTGATTTTTGAACATTGCATTATCGTTATAAATTAACGTAAAAAGAACAAGAAAAACATGCGTCAAATAAATTTATATTCAGAAAAACGTCGCTAAGTGACGACCTAAACTAATTTGAATCGGTAAAATAGAAAAAATGAATTGAATGGCAAAATTTTCTAGTTCATTAGATACCGAACTGTGATAGTAAATTGTCTTTCTTTATTAAGTGTATTAGTAATCAAAGCAAAGTCTTAGATCTTTCTTACGTCAAATGTACAATAATTCACATGAATTCTAACAATTTTAGATTATTTTTTCTTTGGATTATGCTTTGTGCAGAGAATACTAGAAAATTGAATGACGACGGTACTATTACATTGTTCAATCGTTATGATGTTGGCCGTCAGTTGGGTAAAGGAACATATGGTGTTGTACGAAAAGCATACGATTCTGTTGAGCAACGTTATGTAGCCATTAAATGCATTAATTTAAACAATGAAGGTGTACCAAGTACAGCATTACGTGAAATAAGTTTATTACGCGAATTAAAACATGTCAATATTATTGAATTATATGCCATTGAAGTTGAAAAACAAACACAAGAATTATATATGATTTATGAATATATGGAAATGGTATGTATAGTATGAACTTCGATTCATATCTGTCATGTAGTTGTCCCATTTGATATTTTAGGATTTATATGATTACATGAAAAGATATTGTCAACAATTACCTGAAAATGTATCAAAGAGTTATTTAAAGCAGTTATTAAATGGTATTAACTACTGTCATAATAACAGAATACTACATCGAGATCTAAAACCACAAAATATCTTAATCGATTGGAATGGATATTTAAAATTAGCAGATTTCGGTTTAGGAAGACAATTTCAATTACCAATGAGAATGTATACCCACGAGGTATGTAATTTTAATATTTGCAAAAAAAACATTTTCAATTTATGTTAAATGATTGTTTAATTCTAGGTAATTACACTTTGGTACAGACCACCTGAGATTTTATTGGGTGCGCGAAAATATTCGACAAGTGTTGACTTATGGTCAATTGGATGTATCTATGCTGAAATAACTCATAATCGTCCTCTATTTCCTGGTGAATGTGAAATTGATCAATTATTTCGAATATTTCGCACACTTGGTAAGAAAAATTCATATAATACCGCTCACATTGTATATGAATAATAAGTTTTATATCCTGTTTTAGGCACACCCGATGATAAAATATGGCCAGGTTTCTCTAAATTACCCGATCATAAAAATGCATTTCCAAAATGGACACCACAAAATATGAAATGTGTATTAAAAGAAGTGAACGATGATGCACTTGATTTACTAATGCAAATGTTAATCTATGATCCAGAAAAACGTATACCAGCACACAAAGCTTTAGAACATATTTATTTACAAAATACACAATTAATTGAACCACCGAAACCAGAAGAATGTGAGACAGTTGATAACGACACAAAAATTCAAATTATAGATGATTTTTTTTAATGTCTTTGTTATTATAGATAGATAATGTCAGATATTTCTAGTTTCTACTTTTGAAAAACAAAAAGTCAGATGTTTGTTGCCTTTCTTTTGTTGTGAAAAAGGTTTTTTTATATCGGTTTTCTCGATCGTTGTCAGATATTTTGTACATATTATTAAATCATAAATAAATTTGGGTGATAAGATGATCCAAATACAAAATAAGTTTTTTTCAAAAGAAAATCTTTTTGATTACTTTTTCGACACTAGAATTCCAAGTTCATCTTGATATAGGTACTTGAGTCAACAATATTCTTAGTTCACGGTAAAAAGTTAAATTTATTAAATTTCATGATAAATTGTAAAAGTAACATTAGTATTGATTGCAATAAAAACAAAGCAACTAATTTTTTAATTTGATATTAACGGTGCAGTAGTCTTATCAAAATGGACAAACTTCGAAAAGATAAAAAAAAGAACAGAACAGAGTATCTTACAAAATAGCTATAAAAAATATTGGAATGCTTTTAGTGTGGATGGAAAAAACCGAAAAAATTAACATAAAATCCTTCACGGTATGCAAATAACAGAGTGTAGCAATATCTATTAATTATGCTTATAAAGAAAAGGACTTACTCAATTTTTGAAAAGAAACTCTAATATTTCGAGAAATACTCGCTGAATCACTGAGCCAAAAGTTAGCTTATCTCACATGGTGCATGTATGAATATATTATAGATGCCAACTTCATCATTCCCACAGAAAAGTGCTACATGTTATAAAAGAAAACGACTTTGATAAAAAAAAAGATTGAGATTAGTAGAAAGAGACAAGTAGAAAACATTTTAGTATATACCACAGTGAACAGATACGTACGAAATTTTATTCTCGTGAACGGTAAAAAGAGGATCAAAGTATCATTCTCATATAGGTAAAGTGAGTCTAAATACCCATAACACTACGTGCAAAAGTGAAAGAAATATTGTAAAAACTCTTGTTTGTATAAATCAAACCACTATCAAGCACTTGAACCTAGAATACAAAAAAAAAACATGTTTCTGATGTCCTAATTATATTATGAGAGTTTTCCTATTATTGCTCTAATTGATGAAAAATATGTTGCTCTTACTCGAAAGAGGTTCATTATTATCTTCTTCTTGATTACGATCGATATGACTTTGAACAAATAACAAAGACTGTTCTTGTGGTATTTGTTCACTATTTAAATTCTCTTTAGTACGATTAACGAGCACATAATCGTTACCATTTGAATTTAAATCTGTTGTTTCATTTCCGTCATTTGTTTTGAATGTTTCATCGTTATCAATGTATTGAGAGTGTTGCTGTAGTTGTTGTTTAATATCTGTTTGTTGACGAGAGACTGCAGTTTCAGGCTGTTCAACATAATTATTTTCCTCATCCGCATCATTGTCTTCTTCATCACTACCAACTAACATCAACGGTTTGCTTTCCGATTGAACAAGTTCAATTTGATATTCATCATCATTTTTATCCAATTCTTCATCCAATGATTGTTGTTGTTGAAAAGCCGATGGTAGCTGAAATAAATAATTTGAAAATAAAAAATTATACGGAGAAAATAATATAAACAACTTACCGAAGGAGAATAATCATCGTATCGACCTGAATTTTGATTAGCTTTCACAGATTTTGAATTTTCATACAATTTATACATAGCTAATTCATTGAATAATAATTCTGATATATCTCGAATCAGATCTACAGCACACTCCCGTATACTAAATTAAAGTTGATTAAAAATGATTATAGTTGGTATATATCTTAACAAGGGAAACACTCTCAATGCCTGATCTAGACAACTAATAATAGAAGGTTTCTCCAGTTTTTAGTAAATCAGTTTAGTGTTGAACAGTTTTATCTTTAAAATTTCTTACGTTTTTCCACAGTATTTTGCTATTGTTGTTGTTAAAACCGAAGAAAATTGATTTTGATAATTTCGAACAAATTGAGACGAATCTGGTTGTTGTTTAGACAAAAACAAAATTCGATCTTTAATATCATTCAAAACAATTGGATTAAATATTTCGTTTATATGTAATCTCATATATGGAATCAATTGAACCATTATAGTTTTAATTTGTAAATCCAATGTTTGAATATCAATATTATCAAAATCCTTATAAAAAGAAACAAAGAATAATATTTGTTTATGATTGATACTAAATTAATATAAATAGATGCTTACACGTGGTTTTATTTCAATATTGAATATAGACGATGCACGTATGTTTTCATGTGTTAAACTTTTATATAACATTGATGGTGAGGAAGATGGTGTATGTATCTTCTCGCCATATTGTCGATATCGATCAATCGTTTCATTGTCACTATTTTGATCATTATATGAACGAGATTGTATACGTGACGACAGAAAACTACTCAATGATGGTGTAGATTTTTGCTCATCGAATCGGTCAATGGACGACTGACTGCTATTTTTATCTGAACGCATATTTTTTTGACGATTGTAATCAATTTTATCATCTGTTGTCGATGACAGCGGTCTTCGACGAATTATAAATGGTTTATTTTTATTTGTTTGGATATTGTCTTTTGAAGAACGACGATATCCTTGATGATGAGTCATAGTATCATAATTAGATGGATAATTCATTAATTTTGGAGAGCTACATTGTTCTGTCGTATACATCACTAAGAGAAAAATATATAAATTATGTAGAACTCTCATGTTATCAAAACGTTCATTCATTCTTACTATTTCGTTGATGTCTCGTGGGTGTTTCATTTCTATTCGATAAATGTTCATTATTTTTGTTTTGGACGTAAATCATTGTCTGTTTTCCGCTACTTTGACTATTGAACGATGTTTTACTTGAATTCTCAATATTTGGCACTTGTTCATCATAATCTTTTTTATAACGATTTAAACGAATGTTTTCATTTTGATTATTTATATTTTTAATTTGTCCAATACTACATATTGAATCTTTTGAATCATCTCTTTGAAAAAAATGTCGCTGTTGTTTGTGCTGTTGTTGTTGTACTTGTTCTTGTTGGCTCACCGATGATAAACGTAAGTTTTCTGATTGTAATGAATTAATTTCTGTTTGTAATACAGCTATTTCCCGATAGGCTGAGTTCAAATTAACAATAAGACCTTGTGTTAACATTTGTTGTTGTAATTGTAGAAAAACAGGATCAGCTACTATAGGAGTTACTAATGTATAAAACAAATAGATTAGAAATGAAAAAATATCTTAAACTACCATATTTTACCTCCCGGTGTGGACGGTGTTCCAACCTTTCGAATATTCTGTTCAATTGTGTCATTAAACGTTTTTTGTTCACGTATGAAATTCACTAGACAATGTCGTATTTCATTCATTTGTTCACTAAGATCACTTGTAGCTGGATTATTAGTATTTGAAGCTGGATGGAAGCGTTCAGTTTCAGCTACAATATCTTCTGGAGCATGAAAATTTCCTTGTTTAATACGATGACTTCGTTTATCTAAAATCAACATATTTTCCTTCCTAAATATGGTCAGTTGGAACACATAAATAAAAATTTTTACCAATTTTTTCTCGACCGTTATCTTCCGTGTTCGATGTATTTTCTTCACTTGACAACCATCTAAAATTAAAATAATATTTTAATATATTTTATAAACTTATCAACAGAATATTATCAAATTACTCTGTTGTTAATCGTTCGTCATGCTTATTATTTCTCTTTTTATCATTTTCTACTCTTCTTCTTATAACCAATGGTTGTGTTGTGGATGTTTTCATTTTACTATGATCAATTTCAGTACATTCATTTCGATTTTTTGAGTATATATCTTCTCGCATATTTAGTTGATGATGCATTTGTGACCAAAGTGGATCGTTGAATTGATCTTATAGACAAGAAAACAAACAAACGATTAACTAATTTATTTCTTAATAAATAGAACATACCTTTTTTTGTCAATGAATTTGATGAAAAATCGGCATCAGTCTTTTCTGGAGGGGTTTGTGTATTATTATTATTATTCATACTATTGTGTAATGATGCTATTTGATCTTTAATTGTATGTAAACGTTGACGTGATTCAACTAATCTTTCTATTTCACGATGTTGAGCAGCCATTTTTGCATCAGCATAACTTGTGACAGACGATTGAGTTTGTTGTTGTTTTGGCGACAAAACGTAGGATAATAAAGATGTTTTTCTTTGATCTTTTGATACTGATGGAATAACGGTAAATCGATCATTACGTAAATCATAGTCGTTCTTATTTGTTGCTGTTGTTTGCTGTTTAACAGGCGTTGAAGAATAAGATGATAATTTGTCTGGTTGAATTGTTGTAACCAATTGTTGTAATTCTATTAAAGCTGTTTTAGCTTTCAGTAATTCCCTTAAAACATTGACATTTAACAAAATGAATATAAATTGTCAAAATACGTACATTCGTTTTCCATTTAATTCATCTGATAATTGATCTAAATTTTGTGCATCTTGATTTTTTGTTTTTGCCATTAACATTTTTAATTTTATAGCATCTGATGGTTGAATAGATTGCTCCTCATAAACCGTTTCTTCTCTTTCCATTTCATCTTCATCATTGTCACCAATCATTTCATTTGCTTCTGAATTGTAATAATTGACAATTTGTTCTAGCTCATCTAAACGGTGTTTGACATGATTTAATTTTTTTAAACGATTTGTTGTTTTTGATAATAATATAGGCTTTGATTTCTTTGCATTGGCACTGTTTATCCGACGAGTGCGGGCATTTTCTATCCATAGATTTTTGCCATGAGGATACAAATCACTATCAATAGTTTGTTGAATTACATACGAATCAGAACGTGCTGATAATGGAGGTTTTGATTGTAGCTGACTAAAGCAAGAGATGGATAAAAATAGGAGTAGATAATAGTCTCATATTTTAGTTTACAATTTTATTACTACCTCGACATTAGTCGCTTATTTTCTGTCTCTTGTTCTTCTTGTGCTAACATTTCTAATTCCACATGATGTTTCTGATCATACAATCCTCGTAACGATTTTAAACGATTTCTTAATGTTTCTATATCGTACAGTAAATCTTTTTCCGAAATATTTTGATGTTGTTTTTGTCCTTGTGTATTCATAATGACATGATCATCACTATCATCTATAATTGGCTCAAATCCAGATATATTCGATAATGGTCGTTCAAGTGAGTCGGAGTTATTTTGAGCTGCTGTATTACTGTATGATATTGGCTGTTTCGTTGTTTTTGAGTTTTTAAGAAGTTCTTGTTGTTCTTGCAAACGTTGTTCAGAACGTTTCTGTAAAGCAAGTAGAGCTCTTTTACGTCCCTGAAGTGCTCGCAACTAAAAGAAGAATACGTAAAATAACACAGAGACTCATATCAGGTAGTCTTACCTGTTCTTTTTGTAGCATTAAGTTTCTCGCAGTCTCTTTTTCATTAACTTTATCAATAGTACTTTCGACACTTCGACTATCATCAGATGTTGATTGTTCTCGCCAAGTAATTGTATCCGATTTTAAACTGCCTACTAACGAGTCATAATTCGAATTATCATTACGCATTTCATTATCAGAAAATCCATTTGTTCGACTTTCACCATTTGATGTTATTGGAACGAAACCAATTTTACTTTCGATACGCGGACGAGACGATAGAAAACTATTACTTTCGTTTTCATTTTTTAGATTTTCTTCCTGAAAAATTTCAGAACAAAAAACAAATGTAAGTAGCTCAAGTAAATATTGTAGCAAATCACATAAAAGCAAAAGAATAATGTCGTATAAACAATTGTGATAACTAAATGCACTTCAAAACTAAACTTTAAATAACATATGTTTTAAAAATTATAATCTAGAATATCTTGGGGTAAATATGAGACACTGTTTGAAATTTTCATCGTTTTTCTGTTATTTCTTGGCCGTTTTTTATCAGAAAAACTTACTATTCAACACGGTGGTAGACTGAACATTTTTCTACACGTTCATGTAAAATTTTTTTGTCTCCGACCAGTCTTGAGCCAGATCCAAAATACGAAGAGTTTCATAAAAATGTCTCTAATTACTCTAATTCGGATGAATAAAGACACTTCACTTGTACTCTTGGGATAAATAAAGACACTCCATTCAAATACATGGAGTTTTAATGAACAATTCCTTGTTAATTAAGCCTAAGAATGATTGATTCAAAAATACTCATTTTATAGCCTAAATCTTCCTCTCTCTACCATATAGCTTTTGAACTCATTAAGGTAATTAAGACACAATTAGTTGTACTCGAAATTGTCTTTTTTCGATTTTTATGCATTGGGGTAAATAGAGACACTCCATTGAAGTACACAGGATTTTCAGAAGCAAACCTCTGTCGTCTCTCAGGAGTCGATTCTGGTATTATACCAAATGATAAAGTTCTTTAGAACGCTATACTGTATCACATATGTGAAAATCGCCTAGAACTGATTAGAAGTAATCACGATTCTACATTCAAGACTTTTTCTTCACGTTTTAAATGCCAAAAGTTCGCAATCTAATTCTTCAAGCTCCTAGAACCATCGAATATTGAAGAAAACATTGAGCTTATTAGATTCTTCGAAATTGTTTTTATCGACCAGAAAATTTTGGACAAAAAAGGATGAGATTTGACCAATATATCGATCAAATACTTTGGAAGACTACATGATTTCTCGAAAAACCACGACAGTTTAAGGTAATCTTATACAACAGACTTTCCTCTTGAAGATAAAACAAAATTGTTTTCGACATCAATTGATCAGTATCAGTATTGTCAGTATTCAGTATACTGATACTGGTGCATACATAATTGTGTCTTAATCAGTTTAATGAGCTCGAAACTATATGGTAGAGAGAGGAAGATTTAGGCTATAAAATGAGTATTTTTGAATCAATCATTCTTAGGCTTAATTAACAAGGAATTGTTCATTAAAACTCCATGTATTTGAATGGAGTGTCTTTATTTATCCCAAGAGTACAAGTGAAGTGTCTTTATTCATCCGAATTAGAGTAATTAGAGACATTTTTATGAAACTCTTCGTATTTTGGATCTGGCTCAAGACTGGTCGGAGACAAAAAAATTTTACATGAACGTGTAGAAAAATGTTCAGTCTACCACCGTGTTGAATAGTAAGTTTTTCTGATAAAAAACGGCCAAGAAATAACAGAAAAACGATGAAAATTTCAGACATTGTCTTAAGGTACTCTGTCTAAGATTTGACGTATGTGTACAAGAAACTGATGTGTACAAGATAACGATACTAAGCATGCATCGACAACGACTACGGGTATTGGATCGAAATATGAACTTACAATTGTATGATTATTGTTTTTTACAATAGTTTTGTTTGTTTTTACAATAAACTAAAGTTGCAGAAAATTTGATTTTTATCAAGTCGCTCAATGTCGTTTCACTTAACGTAACTTACATTAGGATTACGAACAATCGTATGTTTTGAATTTTGCAACGACTTTTCTTGTTGATTTAAATCGTCATAAAAATCTTCATTGTTTACTTGTTCAGATGTTGGATGGTATGGTGTTGATGTCTAAGTGGAGAAAACATGATACGATTGAAATTTGTTTGTTATCATAGTATTTGTAAGCGAATTAGTGTGATAATATTAGACAAAAGCAAAAAAAAACAAGCGTGCTACACAAATGATAGTGCTACAACTACTCTGGTACAAGCGTAATACAAGAGTTAAATGAAGCAGAAATCAAAATTCATCAGAATTTACGAGTATAAGATCGAGTAATTGCATATAACCAGTTTGTTGTTCTTGTAAATTAGATATAATTGAACGTAATTTTTCACATTGATGTTCACTATCTGGCTATAAAAAGGTAAAAATTTGTCCAAACCAATCTTTGCTATGTTTATTTATGTAGACATTTAGTATTACACTTGATATTTGAAACTACTCAAATTCAAGTGAGGATATCCCATTCTCTCTAGCTTTCATTTTTGAAGAAGAAACCTTGGGAAGAAAATGTTCATTAAAAAATAAATTGTTAAATTCTTACGATAAGATCTTTCATTTTTTCCATTGGTTCTAACATGGTTTTCGCTTGCTTCAACGAATTTTGAATTTGTTTAATACGATTAGCTATTTTTGTTGTCGATATTTGCTGAACACAATAGAAAACGTCAATGACAAAGCTTTCGATACAGTTTCTAACACTTGCGCTTACATCAATTTGATCACTGCCGTTACTAGTGACCAGGTCTGCAGCTGAGAGAATATCGTCTGATTCCGTGACCCGTTGTCGGGGTAATGAATGAATGCTCTCATCATCTTCGCCTTCTCCACTATCTTTATCAGAATCATTCATATCATTGTTCAACAAAGATATTTCATAAACCGGATCGAAGAATGACATCTACAAAGTACAATATCAAGATGAGTGGATCTTGAAGCAAACATTGAAATCTAACCTATACCTGGTCGTTATCACATTCGTCTTGTGGAAGATTTCGAACTTTTCGTTTCAATGGCATAACTGTTTAAAGAAAAAAAGTCGAATAATCTGAAAGATGAAACAGACACACACGAGATTAGGAATCAAATAAACAGAGATTCAGAAAACAGCAATTATTCAAAGAAACAGATCACTGCATATATTATCAATGAGTTCTAGTAAGCAAGTAAATTCTATTCTCGATTGAACAGATGAAGTTAATCTTTAGAAAATAAGACAGATTGTGAACAGCATGAACAGCTAAACACCCAAGAAATGTTTGTGAAATAATAAAATCAGAAAACTGTAAAAAGATGCTATAGGAACAACATTATGTGTCAGTAACAAATACTGTTCTTCTAAGAGTATTGCAAAAATACAGAGGGACAAGACAATAACGAAGGTGTTAAATGATGACAGACTATCTCAGTTTAATAATATAAAACTAGTCAAAAGTATAAAAAATATCAGGTTTGCTTTTTGGTTTCTTCTATCTCCCTTTGCTTTTTCTGAACCAATGCACCAGATTTAAATTTTTGATCGAATATATGTAAGAATCTAACTTGACTTGGATTCATTTCTGTTGCTTATGTACAAGATCATTAACAAACGTTCCATCACACAGTGATAACACTTTGATATTACCAGCTGATGATGCTGCTTTTTTTTTGACCATTTTTGCATTTACTTGTATTTATGATTGTTAGAAGAGCTGTTTGCACTTCTGTTAAGAAACACACTTTTCGCAAGAATCTCGTCCATTGCTACCCTCAAGCAGCAAATTATGGTACAAATATTGTTTAAAACATTCTAACTCGACTGAAACACGTGCAACAGGTTAGAAAGGAACTTGACGAGCTTGTTATCCGTAAATTACCTAGAAAAAATAACTACCATTGACCATTTCATACCATTAGTTACAAAACTCTCTGCAGATTATATTATAAAACATCAAGTAGCAAGGTGTTAATAAAGATGTCACTAAGAAACTCGGAAAGATACGCTAAATATTTTTTTAATCTTAATTCGATTCTTCAAACAATTATAATTATTTCCAGTTGAAAAGATAGCAAACTCGATAGTAGTGTTAGTCTTACTTTAAGAGTGTGCCTTACAACGAGATTGTACACAAAGATAGTCTAGTAAAACTAATTTTTTTAATTTGTTTTTGAAATTTACTCAAAAAAACAGATTTTTTGAACGAATATATTTATAGAAAAACGTGTGGTTGTTCGACATACATTATGAAATGTACTCTAACATAAGTCCGTCTGTTTTATTTCAAATAAAGACGGAAATTTCATATTACTGTTGCTTTGTTCACATTATCATAAATGTACTGATTCTATATCTTTTGCCGCTATATGATGTTTTTTAGCATTGTCATGCTTCATCAGTTCGGTGACATGCCGAAGAACTTGTTTACTAACTGGTAAAGTCTTTGTGGTTTTTGGAAATCTTGACATATTATCCGTGTCTCCTGATCGTTTTAATGGTTTTTTCGGTTTGATTGTTCTTGGTTTTTCTTCTAGTGGTGAGGATTGACTATCCAGTTTTATGTTCGTTTCATCCATATATGTTGCTTCACTATCTTGTTTAATACAGGATATTTGTGAATTCAAATTTTTATCAAGATTAATTAGGTAGTAACTTGTAAGATGATCGTACGATCGATGTTTTTGTGTTAATATTGAATGATCTGGTAAGCAACGTTCAACACCAAAGGATTGTCTACGATTGATCACACTATTTATGTCATCGACTTTTTGTGGTAAAGCAGTTTCTATTTTTTTTATCAATGGACTATTTTTTACTCGTGATTGTTCTTTTTCAGGACTGAGATCAGTTTTCAAACCCTTGAATGAATCGAGCAGATGAGATGTAACGTTATCCGTATCGTTTTTTGTCGGCTCACTGTCAGAGTCTGGATAAGTTGTTGTTGACCATTGCGATAAACTTGATGCATCACTGCGTGACTCTATTACGCTCGCCGTGTATATGGTCGATGTCGATACAGTACTATCAATTTTCTCTGATTCTTGAATTACTGAGTCCATTTCGAATTTTCCAGACGCAATCGTATCTAGAGGAATTAAGTTGCTGCTTTGTTCTACACTAAGTTCAACAGACGGCTTAACTAAATGCTTTAGTCTTGTGTCACTTCTTTTATCTACGTCATTAGACGTTTGCAAGTCGGGCAAGGAAAAGGTTGGCGCAGTTGAAACAGTTTTTCGTAATGGGATTTTTTCTTTTTTTGTCTCAATAACTTCTTTTAATGGTGTTGGAGGATGATGTTGTCGATTCGATGACACTGATGATTTCTTCGTCCGTGGTTCGCACGACGTTTTTAATGATTCTCTCTTCTTCTTGGTATGATTGTAGTCGATAGGTGGTCTTCTATGCGTTTTATGTGATGTTTTTGTAGTAGCATGTTTGCTAGTTTCTTTTGCTCGTTGTTGGATACGTGACGAAGTACGTGTTGGCTTATAGGTATTTGATACGTGGCTTTCACAATCAAGTTCAGTATCATCAAGTTTTGTAGTATCAACAATCGGCACCACGGGTTTCGATGATTTTGATTGACCAAGCAGCTGTCGAAAGAGACCGTTTGGTTCTGCAGGTCGTACTTTCGATTTTCTAAACGTAAAATTGATAATCAAAACGTGTTAATAATCAAAACCCATAACCGTAATACTTTACCTTTTTGATACATTATCAATTAACACTGGCTGACCATTTTTGAACTCTGTTGGTTTTACTCTTATACTCTCAACACGACGTAAAAATAATTTATTTATTTCAACTTGACCTTTTCCACCTTTATCACAGTAATTTTCAATTGATAATGATTTTCGTTTTTTTGGAATACATAAGTATGGTAGACATCCTACCAATGGCATCCTTGTTTTTTCCACGAGGACATAGTTAGGATGCAAGAAAATATTGTTAGTTGATGATCAAAGCAGATGAAAATGGAGTGTTGACATACAAAAAACAAGTATTTAGCCAAGAAAATCCTTTTTATTTTATTTTATGTAACCGGTCAATAATGTAAACATAACGAAGAAGATTACGAATACAGAGAGAGAGAGAGAGACAGAGAGAGAGAGAGACAGAATTTTTCGTTTACATTTTTATCTAGATACGTTCATCCAATTAACATTTTCATCAAACTATTACATACTTTTTTCTTGCTTGACACATGTAGTTGGTAATACTGTCCTCTTCGAGATGAACGCTGACCTTAGCATTTTCATGATATTTTTCGATGTAGATGCATGAGATGAACATGTAGCTTTCATAATGTACTGTCTGATATGTCTACTCATTGCTATCAATACTTCCAATCTCTCCACATTATTTTTTCTTTTGTTGAAAGCATATATAAGATCCTGACGTCCTAATATTATTTTTAGTCACGTTCCTCAGCCTTGTACTTCATTTTATGCTCACCTGATTGGTGAAGCTATAGAAAGAAAAAAAATTACGCAGTTCGTCTGCAAAGATCAAGTTCGTGTGTTCGATCCTAGCTTCGTGCAAGGATTGATTTTGTGTTTTGATAGTTTAAGTTTCAGAATGATATAATGGGAATTTATATTCTCGATTTCGTTCTGGTTCAAGATTAAAGCTTAAACCAAATCGATCATGTATATGTATCTATATATACTATAAATCGTAGCAAATTTCTGCGGTACGATTAGGCATCAATATTGTGAAATCTTATAAGATCTTATGACAAGAATTCGCATGCGTTTCTAAGATCTTGTAAAATCACATCAGTAGATCGTAGGGAGAGGAGGGATCCCCCTGCTTTCTGAAAAATTTACTCCGAAAATTAGATCTTTGACTTACGAGAATATCCCACAGAGTAAAGCGTTTACTCGTATTTTGAGAGTAAGACAATTACTCTCATTTTTAGAGTATAAAGGGCTTACTCTCAGTTTCGAAGTAAAGCGCTTATTCCCATTTTCAGAGTAAGGCGTTTACTATCAGTTTTAGTGTAAGATATTTATTCCCATTTTGAGAGTAAAGGCTTACTCTCAGATTGGTAAATAGAGTTAAACAGAAGGAAATTCAGTCTTGCTTTAGAAGTAAACTGCTTCGAGTATTTCTTTTTCTTTTTTTAGTTTTACTCCAATTTTTAAAAGCATAAAAATTTACTCCGGAATTGACTTCCTCCTCTGCCTCCGAGGTATCAGGGCACCCCTATCTGTAACGTGGGACAACATTTAATAGTGAACAATCCACATTTTTTAGAGAATGGATCTTTTTTATAGCTGAAAAGAGAATGGGTAACATTATTTGGAGAACGCTTTTCAATTTTTTTGATCAAATTAAAAATAAATCATCTAGTACAAACTATGGTAACTAGAGAAGAGTTAGACTTACGAGGAAAGGACACCAAGTGATAAATCGCTTCTAGCTTAAAACTTAGCGAACAATAGGTAATCGAGTGTGCTGATTCCGAATACTAACATGAGACGGGCCGCTAGGCCTCCAAAGACTGGATTT